TTAGTTTCTATGTAGAAACACTGGTTGTTCATTTGCTTCTCAATTTGCTGGATATTAGCAATAGCTGCAAGCATTGGTTTAAAGGCAGAAAACAAAGCAATGGAAACGTCAGTGAGAGATACAGAAGGGTCATGCAGCTGTCTGCAAACTTTCTCCAGATCGGTTGTGACATTGTGTAATTCGGAAGCATCAGGATGAAAAATGGAAAATATAGTTTGCTGACTCGCACCAAGTTTTAGATCCTTTATAATCATCCGGATCAACCACTTTTGTTCAAGTGCTGAGCTCTGAGTTATTAATTGAAGGAGACTTTTCTTTACCAGGTCCTTTCTTTTAGCAGCATTATTACTGGCAATTGAATCTAGAAGTTCATTCACTTGTTCAATAGTCAATTTGCCTTGCTCTGGGCACCTGGGTTTCAATACAAAGTAGGCAGTCATTGCAAAGTCCCCAGCATCTCCACGTGAACCAGCTGGTGTTCTATAATTTAAAAGCTTTAGGGCATCTTTTCCTTCTTTGGGTAAATTAAGTAGTTCAATATACAGCTTAGCAAGCATGGTTTCTTTTATTCCATAAGCCATTCTTTCTCTTTCCAGTTGTGGAAGAATAAGTCGCATTGCGGGATAAAAAGAGTCCGTGACATCCTTCTCCTTTTTATGGAGGGCACCATGAAACTTCCTCCATGAATCTAAAAAATCCTTGAAATACTTGGTTTTCTCTGGGCGGGATTTGCATTTCTGCATCCGTTCTAAAGTTGAACAGAGATCTGCAAAAGGCACTTGTGATGCTACAGTTTGCTTAGAGGATGACTGTGCAGCAGGTGTGGATGACATCATGATTTTCTTTTTTCCCCCACTGTAAAAGAGAAAAGAATGATTTTAAAATATTTTAAAATGAAAGAAAACAGGCTAGTAAGTTATCATACTTTTAAACTCTTAGATGGGCTTTCCAGAAGCTTTCTTTGTTTAAAGCAGTGGTTCTTAATCTTTTCAGACCTGAAGCATCCCTTGCAAAATGCCACTCTCCATTTTCATGGGGTTTTTTTGCAAATGTTACTTAGTGCTGACGTTGGGTGGTACCCTGTGGCACCCTTGAAAGGCTCTCGAGGCACCCCAAGGTGCCATGGCACCCTTGTTAAGAATCACTGGCTTAAAGCTATCCAAATATTTCTCTCTACTGAACCACCATTACTTAAGTGATGCTAATCCCACCACCACATCAGGCCCCTAACACAAGTCACAACACACGTACCCAGTGCCCAAGCAAACAGGGTCTGTTAAACAACACTGGGGGGGGGGGGGCATAGCTGAGGTCTGAACAGAATCTGCACTTCCTTCTTTCAGCCCTTTCCAAAGACTCAGCCTCTCCCCTCCCTCAGCACCTTCCCACCTGTGCTATCTAGAAGAAGGTGTTAGACAGGAGAGTGTGTGTGTGTGTGTGTGTGTGTGTGAGAGAGAGAGAGAGAGAGAGAGAGAGATGGGGTAGTCCACAGGTTACAACCCACATGGGTTTTCAGTTCAGCTACTGGAGGTTTCCAGAATCAGAGAAGGGGGCACTGGGGTCTGACCCAGCTCTAGCTATCTCAGTGGTTCACCCAGAGACTCCCAGTGACTGCGGGGCCCTCTTCCTGTCCCTCATAGAGACAGAGAGATTGGGAAAATCCACAGCCTGGTTTTGTTGTCTGGCTCAGGGGTTTATGTGCTGACCTCCTGGTGGAAAGGCTGTAAGTTCATATCTGGGTGTGGACCCAGAGACTCAGCTGAGAAGGGGCCCCAGGGTGTCCACAAGGAAAATTTTCAGTCCTTGGCACTTGTTTCAAACCTATGACCAGCACTCCCATCCCTGTATTTTGTATTATTTGTCCCAAGGAACCTGTTGCTCCTTTTTCCTGTAGCCTCCCCGCCTGAAGGAGGCTAATGAGAAACTTGATGGGCTGGGCCCACACGATTTAGAAGGGTGACAAGTAGGCCTGTCCCTCATGGACGCTGTCACTGCTGACGATCTCTGCTGTCACTGTGTGGCGGCCGCTGGCTCAACCGACTCGTTGGAGGGCCAGCGGGTGCTGACCAGAGCGCTCCTCTAGATGTCTCTCCCCAAAGTACTTGCTACGAACCTCTGCCCTGCCCTTCCGACCTGGCCTTCGTGCCAGTCGCCCCATGAAACCACTTGCTGACCAGAGAAATCCAGAGCAGCCTACAGGCTAAAAGGGGAGCATATAAAAAGTGGAAACAGGGAGAGATTACCTAAGAGGAGTATACCTCCTCTGCTCGCGCTTGTAGGGAGGCAGTTAGACGGGCCAAAGCTACCATGGAGCTGAGGATGGCATCCCAAGTTAAGGATAACAAGAAATTGTTTTTTAGATATATAGGAAGTAAAAGGAAGGCCTAGGGTGGAACAGGACCCCTACTAGATGGGCATAAGCAATTGGTGACGGACAGGGGGGACAAGGCTGAACTCCTCAACGAGTTCTTTGCCTCAGTGTTCCTAAGTGAGCAGCAAGACAAGTCTCTCACTGGGATTGTGGAGAGGTAGCAGCAGGGCGCCAGACTACCATGTGTAGACCATGAGATGGTGCAGAGTCACTTGGGAGAACTGGATGCGCTTAAGTCGGCAGGGCCGGACGAGCTCCATCCGAGGGTACTGAAGGCACTGGCTGGCGTCACTGCCCAGGCACCCGGCGGGAAA